TTCTACAAAAATTTCTAAACACAAGTTTCCATTTTCTAGACTTGTCTTGTCCTAGAGCAGTAACAAGCAATTCGAAGACCACTGCTGGTCCACAGAAAGCCCTTTGAGTAGCACCAGTCTAGCCAAGGGCTAGAAAAAAGAAACTTCTCTGAGATCAGAAAACGAGGTAGGTGTAGAGATCAAAATTCTGGAGCCCCTTGCAAACTGGTGGCAGTTGGAGGCATGCCACAGGAATTAGGGAAAAACTCACAGAGAGACTGCTTGGGCAGAAATAGACGCAGGCTGAGGGTGGAAGTCCGTGAGCACCGTAATGAGGTCAATAGCAAGCAGGCAGTTGAGGGAAACAGGAAATGTAGGTAAGAACAGAGAAGCCAGATGAGAGAGAATCATAGGTTCCATGCAGCCTGTTATTTGGGTCCATCGAGGTGGGCACCTTGCCTTGCATGCCAAAGAGGCACTTAGCTCAGTGTACTCTGCTGATTAAGGCAGGCTGCTATGGACTAAATGTTTGTGTACCTCTAAATTCACACATTGAAATCCTGTCCCCAAAGTGATGATGTGAGTAGGTAGGGCCTTTGGAGGTGATTAGGTCATGAGGGTGGAGCTCTTGTGAATGGGATTAGTGCCCTCATAAAAGAGACCCTAACAGAGCATCTTGCTTCCCTCCCCTTTCAGCCATGTGAAGACAGTGGGGAGATGGCCGTCTATGATCAACCAAGAAGCAGACTCTCACCACACATGGAATCTGCCATCACCTTGATCTTGGATTTTCAAGCCTACGAATATCTGTTATTCATAAGCCACCCAGTCTATGGTATGTTTATGACAACAGCTCAAACTAAGACGTGAGCACATAAATGTATTACATGTTTTAGAATTATATCAAAACAGTTAATGTAAACGAGTTGGAGTAATTTACCTGAGAAATCCAGTCACAGAATACACTGCCTTACTTCATGACACAGACAACTGTGTGAAGCATCACTGACATATAACAGAACTCTCCACAGTGCTAGAAAAAAAAATTTTTAACTCGTGCAGTCTATTAGGATTTAGCCAGCTACATGTAACTATTGAGCACTTGAAAAGTGGCTAGTGTGACTGAAAAACTGAAGTCTTCTTCCAATTTAATTTTAATTTATTTTTTAAAAATAGCCACAGATGGCTAGGAACTATCTGATTAGATAGATGATTCATATGACTCATATATAGGCAGATTTGGTTTAGAGTAAAAAGACATATAAGCTTTGGGGTCACAGGGTTCCACCTTTAATCTTTTAATTACTAAGTCTATGACCTTAGATTGTCATTTATCTTCCCTGGGCCTGAGCTTCTTGTTCATAAAATGGGAGTCATATTTATGTTTAGGGCCATTGTGATGACTAAAAATTAGGCAGGTAAATTGCCTAACACAGACCAATAAATGATAGCTATTACTTAATATTAAATAGGTCAGTGTTCATGAACATAATTCAATTCGATTGTTTTGATTTCTCTAATCATCACCATTAACATGTAATAAACTATGAAATACTCAATAAGAGATAACCTTTGGAGCTTTGGCCTCTAGTGGAATAGCCTCTGGATGGCTTACTGTAGTAACTTGCCATGTTTTTCTAGTTAGTGATGCTCTTATCTCAGCCTTGCTCTGAGCTGTCCTTTCTCAGTGTAATTGTTTCTGGCAAATCCTCCCCCTTCTCCTATGGAGCATTCCTCAGTGCTCTTTCTATAACCTTGGGAAGAAGAGAAGGCTGTTCAGGGAAATGACACACTGAGCTGACTCAATCACTAGCTTTAATTTCAAATACAATTTTAAGGCAGTGGTGTCTGATCAGAAGGTTTCTCGAGTCTTTTTCTATGGAATTAAGAGCATACATTCACAGACCTTATTTGCCTTTACCCTGTCTGAGCATCACAATATCTGGAAGAAACTTTAAAACAAATGCAACTCTAACCCTCCTCTCCTCACCCCGCAGACCTGGCATTGTTGGAAGCACTCCAATGCCACCAAAATCTGTCACAGAATTTTGAGACCGATTAAAACAAAGTTTAATGAGAAAAAAATAAAAATAAAAAAGAAGAAGAAGAAGCACTCCAGGCAATTCTATTTCATGGCTTGAAAACCACTGGCAAATACCTCTGGTGAATGCCACGTTTCCAAGGTGAGTTCCAGACAGGCGGGGTTGTTTGAACCCCGATTCACTGAGAGACGGCTAGGTGAGGAAATGGCACAGACATCACGCAGATCCAGCACGTGGATACGGGGGAACTCTGGATATTTGAGTAAAATTTTCCCTGGGGAATCATAGTCTGTCACTTGAACAAGCGTCACTCAGAGCTGGGCTTAGATTCCAGAACTAATTTTTCTCTGCTTATTCTCCTAAGCCACCGTGTCATGTTTCTGGAGATGGTTCACCTCCTCATGCTGTTCTTTGTGAGGCTCCAATTTGTTTATAATATTCTGGCTCCGGCAGAAGTAACGCCTGCTTGAGTGTGGTTGGTATGGTAATAATATGGGTATAATAATTTATAGTTTTAATTTGAACATTTCACCTAAAATGTCATGTGGTATGCCCAAGTGTGATATTATGTTACAAAATTACATGCTTATGATTTTGTAATAAAATGGGGGCATTATTTGTGCCAGGCCTTGTATTATTATTCAGCGCGTGGGCTCTTTTATACACGAAATTTGACACAGAAAGGTGCATACTCATCTGAAAAAAGACCAGTGAAAACTCTGAACTGGTCTCCTAGTTTCCCATAAGAAACCGCGCCTGCAGTCCGAGGCTCAGAGTGATGCCCTTATGTCCATCTGCCAGGCCCACCCCCACGACACGGGTGCTCCCGACGCTCACAGTGACTGTGAAGGTGGTTAAGCAACATACTCAGTAGTGTACGGATGCTTGTTAGGGAACTAGTCAGTGTTATACACTTTTAAAGACAAAAATGTCTGTGAAACAAAAGAATTTCAAGCATAGGCCAATGGCTTACTTCTGAATAATACTCAACAAAATTCCAGCACAGCAAACCAATTTCAACAATTCCTGAGTCTGTAGCAGGTCATATAATTTTCAGCTCAAAGAAGAGATATTGTCCTATATCAGCAAATATTGGAGATTGGGAAGGTACATTTGGAGTATTTGATAAGATTAAAAATTTACGGAGATGTTCTAGTTGAGGCGTTTCATTGCTCTCCAGTTCTCTAACCACATCTTTTATTAATTTTGGGTTTTGGCGAAGGCAATATGAAAATGTTAACTCTACAATGGGCAGTAGCAATACCTTAAATGAGAACCTTAATCCTATTAAAAGTTAGGGCTTCCTACTAAGTGACCTCCTTGGCATATACTTTATCATGAAGAGGTAATTTAAATGATAAAGAAGCTAGAAGTTATTTCTGATTTTCAGAGCATGGCTCACATGGGAATCTTTTCTGGCTTCATAAGTGAGTATTTGGAAAGAAACATAACTCAGAATAGCATAAGCTAGAAAGGCAATGTATTGGTGCATTTCCTCAGAAGTCCAGGGGTTCTGACTGGTTTCAGAGAGGGCTGCCTGGAGGGGCTCACTAATGTCATCAGGGCTCTTTCGGTGTCTGTTGCTCACTTGGCTTTCCTCTTTAGACGGCTACCTCCAGCTGTGCAGGCAGGCTTACAGGCATGGTCTCAGAGTCTACCATGTCAGTTCAGAAAGAGAACCCCCGTTTTCCCTCACATCCTTTGTGCCCAGGACCTGAGATGCTCTCTAATGAGCAAGCCTGAGTCACATGTCACTGCAAGACAGAGGTTTCTCACATCCAACAGGAGGGAGCAATTTCCAAAGGAAGAGATTGGGGCAAAGAATTTTGAAAAAAAAAATCTACTTTAGAGTGAGAGAAGTTGGTTGCCTTTGCTATGAAATGATAAAAAGTAACTTCATTCTGCTGTTCACATGACTTGTTGGAGTCAGTGGAGACTACAACATACTCCGTGATCACATGGAATGCATTCGTCTGCCACAGGAAGGTTCCATTTCAAACCCAGTACCACGTCACTTGCTTACAGTGGTTGTCATGCAGATAGCCAAAAACCTGTTATAGAAGTATGATTTTATTTCTTTGATAATTTCTGAACCAAAATGAAATAACAGTCATACAATTTGGATATAGATGATCTTTCTGAGAAAATGGGATGAATATAATTGTATTTTAAATGTACTAAAGACAAAAGAAATATTTGCTAAATATTTTAGAGAAGCAATTATGCTGTGAGTTCCTCTCATTCAACCATTTTGATAAAAGTGGATTTCATCTTTTAGAGTTCCCAATAGAAAAAACATATATACTAGAATCTATTTAGTAGTTCTAAAATAACAAAACCATCTAAAAACCAACCAAGTCATCAAGCAATTCTAAAGGAAAAGCATTAGCAAACCATATATTATGAGATGAATAATGACACACTTTAAAATATATACTTAATTTTGAAACACACTCTAGGGGCAGCATATCCATCCTGCTTGAGACTTTTTTCTGTATTCTTTATTAGAGTTTTAAAATGTCTTCAGAAATTAAATCTACACATATTAAAATGGCCCATGTAAGTATATGAAAGTCAGCAGAAAACGCTGTCGGGCACCAAAGATCATCTGGGTGGCTAGACTACCTGGTGGAGTTATTAGTCACAAAACAGGCTCTAGGTCTCGGTGCTTGCTATATGTTCTAATCTCAGGCTTCCTGACAGTGGAGATCCAGGAGATTCTCCACTGTTGTGGAGTGGGGGCCAGGATACTGGAGAGGGTTTGAAAGTGGGCTGGATGGGTATGGGGGAGGGGTTTGGAGGTGGAAGTGTAATGGAGAGATTTGGGGGTGGGAGTGACGGGAGGGGATGAAGATGAGGAAGGGGGCAGGGCTAGAAGTGGGATGCTGGTGCGGTTAGAGGGAGGGGGCAGGGGCGGGATGGAGGCGGGGCGGTAAGCTCCAGGGGCGTGCACTCTGCACAGGGACACAAGCTCTGGGCCACAGCAACTCGCTTCAAGTTCCCTCCCTCGCTCTCTGGGGAAGCCTGCTTGAGTCCTCCCATTCGGTGCAGACTGAAGCATCGAGGGCCGCCTGCTAGCCGGGGCTCTCCACCGCCTTGCGTCCTGGGCCCGCTGGGCTGGCCCGGTCCACTCTCTGCTTGTGGTCCCGCTGAGGTGGCGACGAGGACTAGGCGGCCCCTGCGGCCCGCACTCGGTCGTCCAGAGGCACCAGCAGCCTGGTTCCCGTGTCTCGCGGGGCCGACTCTCCCTCCCCGCCATCCCCGGGAACCTGACGCCAGGCTCGGGCTGCACTGCCGGAGACCAGGGAGAGCAATCGAGGTAAGGCTGGGACCGGTAGCCGGGGTAGGGGGACAGCTCAGCGCCCTGACTGCGGACAATGCTGAAGCCGCGCGCAGCTGGAGAGTGGCCGGGTCCGCCCCTGCAGCCCACTACTCGGCTTGGGTCTCCGTCCAACCCTCAGGGCCGCGTTGGCCCAGATGGACACCGGACGGCTTTCTGGGCTGTGAGGGTAGGCGCGTGTCGCTGCCCTCCCTGCGCTCCCTAAGTCCCCCTGCACTCTCCGCTTCACATCCCCTGTTTTGCGAGGAGGAGACTGGGCAGGGGCCCCAGGAACAGTGCTGGGACTAGCTGTGGAGTAGGGGCGTGCTTGAGGGGCAGGAACAGCGGCTCCGAAATTGAAAATGAGCCCGCTGGTTACTGTGGGAGGCGTGGGGTTGGCCAGAGACTGGGACTCCGAGCAGCCAAGTCTCCTGGGAAGGTCTCTAACCTCGGGTGCTAAATACTTTGGGGGTGTTAGTGTCTCCTCATCGCTGGCTGGGAGTCCTTGCAATAATGTAGATTGAAAGGCTCTGAAAGTTTGTTTTTGGTTATGCCCATCATCTGCAGCCTTCGTATCAATTGTCTCTACTTTCTTTGAAAGCATACAGATTTGAACTAGAATTTAATTATCTTTGGCTCGCGCGTGCCCCCATCACCCAGAGGAGCTCATAACTTGGCAACAAAGCGTGTGCAGGCTGTAAGGAAGCCCTGCTGTTCCCTGCCCAGCTGAGCGCCTGCACGGTGTGAGTGGCAGTGACAGTTCTCCCTCCCTGCGGGCTTGTGGGGGGGGAGAGGGGCGGAGAGAACTTTGCTATATGCTTAAATTACTCTGGAAAGTGGAAAGAAAACACCTGGCGCCCGGCTCTTTAACCCTTTCCAGGTATTATTACTCAGGCTTTTGGTGCCACCGAAATGAGCAGGCTTTCTTTTCTGCCTAAGGCTGACTCTGGGCTTTTCTTCCCAGCCATGTCCTGTGCGAACTCTAACACACGTCTGTGACAGCATTGCATGGCTGGCACTGTACGCACTACAAAAACTGGACTGTTTTTGAGAGTAGAATAAGCATCTTTGCAGTATAAAGTAGTATGGCTTCCATTTTTTTTTTCTTTTTTCAGTTCCCCTCTTAACATGGAAGATACTTATTTAGGACACCCCCCTCAATTTACACTTAGAGTCATTCCAAAGGAAATATCTGCATTCGCTTGTACTTCATTTGTGGTCCCACAACACCTGGTTTTCAGATGAACTGTTTAGTAAGCACGGTTATTTTAACATAAGGGCAAGTTAATGGTCAGCCAACATTCTTTGCCAGTAGGAAATGTCCCACTGATTTACCCTATGGTATTTAACCTATGGAGTCATTATAGATCATACAACAGTAAAGTCACTATTTGAACAGGGAAGTGGTGATGCTTTGTCAACCTGATATATTCTGTAAAGGGCTTAGACTAGTGCCCAGAACACCATACTGGGTGAGTGTCAGCTAGTTTTATTTTAAATTGTTACATTTTTATTAACAATCCATGTGTTTTTGTCTGTTTGGAAAATGGATGTTTTTGTTTTGTGTTTGAAATTCCAGATCTTTTTAAATCGCGGTCTATTTTAAGCCTGTGGTTTAATTTTAGCTGAGAACTGGGGTTGAGTAGTTGTTTTGCTCATGACTGACTAGCTGTTTTGTGTATTGTCATGCAAGGTGAGTTGATTTAGCAAATCTGTGTGGTAGGGCTGCAAGGATCAGACCACAGCCCAGGACCTAGTCCTTCAAGGAGACTAATTACAGTTAGGGGCCTGATTTTGTAAGGAGAAGCCTAGACTTTAGGAGAAACCCGGACTATTGACCCCACCCCCAACCCTCTTCTTCTCTAGGTTTAGAATAATACTTCCAATTCGCAGTTTAAAGAGCCCTGTTGACTCAGCAGTTAGGTAATTCCCACGGTGCTAAAAGGCAATAAAAGGTAAACATGTACACTGTATATTCATCAGCCAGAGCATGTAATTCTTATTCGTGCTTTAAAATCTTCAGAGCACTATTTATAGCCTAACTAGCTAAGATAAGAAAAATTAAAACTACCTACTTGCCATGAGTCAGGAACCAAAAGATTATGTTTGTTGCCTAGACATTTTAAAAGATTGTCAGGAGTATGCTTTCATTTTGAGATTTTTTTTTCCCTCTCCATTTAACTGTGAAGTGACATCTTTTTTTATTCCTGAACAGTTTAGTGAGTTAGCTAAGCAAAGGCATGGTGTTAACTCTTGGGTCCCTGCAGAAGCAAAGCTGCCGTAGGCCCTGGGCGGCAGTAGGTGGTGCTGTGGGCAGTGCTGGTGGCGGAGGCACGTGTGCTGGAGAAGTGGGGGGGATGAATTGAGCAACCCAATCACTTGCCCACTCCCCAAATATACTCTCACCCCAAACACTCTTTTTAGGAATAAGCTTTCAAAAAGTTTGTTCTTTGTGTTTTCAGCTTGTTAATACTATTTACTTGGCCAGAATTTTCTCTCCAAAAACCATAGTATTCCAGGCGTTAAGACAAACATGGCTTGTGAAACTATTTAGTCAGTTGTGCCCTTACTCTTACTTCCCCACAATAGGGTAAGAATAATCATTCTGCGCCTGAAGGATCCCCAAGTAACCTGGACTTTGTTGTCGTTGTTTTTTTCACTACTTCTAAGAGGGAGAAACAAATGATAAGAAACCTATTGGCATCGAGACTAAATTAAATCATTTATTCTGATTTTTATCACTTTTCTGGCTCCCCGTATGATGCAATGACGACTGATATTCAAGTCGAACCTCTGTAAAGCAATGACTCATCCAAGCAAAGTATATTCATCCTATTTAGTACGGCACTGAGGGTAGAAAGTAAATACACTCAGAACAAGGGTTTTCCAGATTACAATCAGAGTTATCTGCGGGCCAGTGCTGGGACTGGCCTGGCCCTGGGCAGTTGACAACGATATTCTCTCTACTCCTTTAACACAGAATGGTTGCTATTATCTCCTTCTGCAGCTGAGGCGAAGCGACTTGGCCAAATCAGGCTGCTAGTAAGTAGCAAAGCTGCAGGTTTGCCTGGGTGCGTGTGCTCCTCTGGTGCCCCTGACTCTCTCCACCATGCCAGGTGGAATGATCTGTGGATTGTGCAGACAGGAAGCATTCACTATATTCTTTCTGGGTTTGATACCAACACATCTCTTCCTTAGAACTCAGTGACAAGCTTTGAAATTCCTGGGTAGCATTTGGTCTTAAAAGAGTCCAAAACAGGAGCAATGGAGCTGTTTTTGACTTTCAGAGGAAACTAAGATTTCACTTTAACACCGTGTTGAAGATTACTTACTTGAGAGTTGAGGAGAAGGATGGCGGGTTAAGTTCTTTGAACCATGTAAAGGCCAATGCAAATAGCTTAGATTATGAAGTGATGATGTTGGGTCTGTTTTTGACCTTGTTGCTCAGGTGATCTGGCAAAAATCCTGCTGCTCCTGTATGTCCATGACTTTTTTCTTTTGGGTGAAAGAATGTTTATTCATTTTGATCACTTACATACATCAGAGAGGATCATGATTATTAATGAAACAATAGCTCAAAACCCCAGTGTGTGTATTGTTTTTTTTTTAATTTTACACTTTATCCAGAGCTTAATTTATTATTTTTAAATGTCAAACATTTTGGTGTTCAAAACATTATAGAAATACCAAAAAATAAATAAATAAGTAAAAATGAGAAGTGTTCAGAAAAAAGCACAAACTATGCCCAAAATGTTTATCAAGGAAGCTACAGGGAGCATTGATTCTGAACTTTGGTTCGGATAATTTGCATGGAAGATTTCGGAGGTAGTATTAAGAAATTCAGTAGTTGATTGTTCTTGGATGTCTTCAGCCAAACAATGAACAATGACGATTGTGTTATCAGTAAAGCTTCAACATTGTTGTGGAATACATTTTCATCCTGTTTTTAAACCTGAGTTTTTGTCTGGTTGATCTTTTGTGATAAAAATTAATAAACTTAAATCATGCATATTCCTATTTTGACACCTTTGGTTTTTTTTTCCCTACTTGTGAGAAGGGACTGACTGTGTGTCGGGTTTTTTGTTTTTTTTTTTTACATTTTTAACATTTTACAGTTTGAATCTCATAAGAAGATTCATGTACACACAGCGTTCAAAGACACAAGCCTTGTTTTGGGGAGTGGTTTTGTTTTTAGGAAACGAGTAAATGAAACAAATTCCTCCCTTCTTTCAGTATGTTTGGTGGTAAAAATAGTGAATGTGTGGATGATTGAACAATTTTAAACTGGTATTAAAGCTGGGATTTTAACATTGTAAACACTTAGGGGGAAGTTCAAGAGTGAATCCTAAGCAAAAGGAAGCAATATGTCATTTGGCCGACAAGTTTCCAGAAGAATTATAAGAATACTATGGTGTGTTTTGTGTATCAGAGCAAGATCAGTGGGTTTTGAAATTGTCCAGCTCCAGATAGAGCTTTTCAAAATATAATTCAGAAGCATATGGGAAATTTTCGAGTGGTTATGTTGTAACGCACAGCCTTTTTTCCTTCATAGCCCCATTAGAAGTTGGTTTTTAGGAGGAATCACAGATAGGCTCAGAATAATCATTCTTGCCAGCCCTTTTTCTTTTTCTTTTTTTGGTCCCATTGACTGGAACTTAATGGAATTTTATGTGAAAGAATGTTTAATAGTTTCTTCTATTATGATTATTATATGAAATATATTTATAGAGGATTCATTATGTGCCAGGTACTAGGGATAAGCAGCGTCCAGGAATAACAAGGTCCCTGCCTCGTTGAGGATTTACTATGTAAAGTGGGAGGGGAAAAAAAGATAATGAAATAAATAAATAAATGACAAGCTAGTTTCGAGCAGCCCGGGAGTGAGTCAAGCGTGCGGGAGGCATTCCAATCTGGATTGTGCGGTTAGGGAGGGCCTCGTGGAGAATGTTTAAGATGAAACGTAAGTGAAAAAAAAGAGGCAGCCTCTACAACTTCCTGGG